TGTTTCTGTTTTTGTTAGTGGAACATTATGGGAAGTAGTATTGGATCCAAGCATATTGACACAAAACACTTTGTCAGCGGAGTTAATACTCTGTATTTATCTCTGTATCTCCACTCCTGTTTGCCACCAACAATGCAAATATCACAATGAGAAGTTTACATAGCTCTTAAAATTTTAGCTCTAATGTCTCTTACATAAGGCTGTTAGTTCAGGGACTGTCAGCAAAGCTGAATCATTTGTCAAGTCTGCCGCTGAAAGGGCAAATTCAGAGTCACTGTGGCTTCTCTTGGCTCTGCAATCGGCCTGTTTATCATTTCACATTCATTCTGTCGTAGGTTCTCCTCGTTCATCTGTGACACCTCTGTGGAGCCTGCTTCAAATCCAGGCACAGTGTTGGCTATATGAACCACATGAACCTTATTCCTCCCATTTTTACTAAGGATGCAGCTGAACACCTTCTTGAAACCCTTCCGAAAGTGCTTGGACACCAGAGCATATACGATGGGGTTGACACATGAGTTGGCATAGGCCATGCAGTGAGAGAGAAGCCTAAAAGCGTAGGTGGTCTGATTAAAAGGGAAGTCTCCGTACAGGTAGCACAGGATCACCACATGGTACGGCAGCCAGCAGATGCAGAAGAGCACAGTTACAATGATGATCATTTTGGTGACTTTGCGCTTGGCCCTCTTGGATTCTGACATGCCGTCCAGAGGGTCGACAGCTGTCCACAAGTACTTGATGGTTCGAGTGTACGACAGGCTGACAATTAGCACGGGGATGACATAGCCAAACAGGAAGGTGCATGTGTCCAGCACTTTACGGTCCTCCTCCTCCCAGCCGGGGATACACACAGTGCTGTTGGCATAATCAATCAGGTCATAGTAGCTGAGATATGGACCCGCAAAGACCAGAGAAAGACCCCAGATGATCACCATGGCAACAACTGCATTACAAGGGGTTCGTAGCTCTCTTGAACGCAGTGGGTAGCGAATGGCCAAATACCTAAAAAGAGAAAGAAAGTAATAATAATGAAGTGATAAAAAAAGCCACATAAGCTCAAAGAAGGATTAAGAAGGAGAGTGACGACATTTCCGTTGATTCTATAAGGACAGTTTTTTGTTTTTTTTACAGTAATGGCGGATCATGGGAATGCTGAATAGTGCCAAACATTAGGAGTAGTGCCACAGAGTGGCTTAATGGCTGTCTTCTAAAGTAAGAGGTTGAAATTATTATACTTGTGTCATTTTAAGTTAGAGACGTGTCAAAACATGTTTTACAACCTTTTTGACTGCCTTTCTCAAATATTGTGCCACAAGTATTTATTTTTATTATTTATTTTCCTAATGCACATTCCTTTTTCTTGTTTGCACATTCTTTATCTTTTCTGTTCTCTTAGTCTTATCTTGTTTACTCGTTGCGTTATGGAAGAACATTGTACATGCACATTGAGAGCCACTGTACTGAAGTCAAATTCCTTGTGTGTTCAACACACCTGGCCAATAAAGCTAATTCTGATTCTGATTTTGAAGTCATTTATTTTGAAATACAGTAAATTAAATAAATACAATTAAGACTGGATATTGAAATTAAAGCCAGTATAAAACATCATGCTACACATTTCCGTAAACTTATTACCTTCTTTTATTCAAAACCTAAGGTTAAAATTATGAATTTAATTCACATAGATAATGTATTGCATGAGTGAAGAGAACATGGCAATTCAATTTAGTAACATCACCAATGGTGTGATTATATGAAGGGACTATCCACCAAGGATGCTGCCACCTCCCCACTCACTGTAATGAGCATCACAGTGAAGGTTCTGTGTTGGATGTAATCATTCACACCATAGTCATTTGTGGGTTCTATTGATTAAAAAGCACCTTAGGGAAATATGTCAGACTGCCTGCAGCATTGAGGATTTTTCAGGTGTTTCAACAGGATCTAATCCTGCATGTATGCTTGGTAAAACCATGACAATAACAAAGAGCATGACTTGTGCCTTGTGCTTTGCTTTTGTTGTTGCTGAGCAGTTGACATGGACACAAATCCCACAGTGCCCTGTGTGCTGTCATGAAAAAGAACATGTTTTTATGGAACCAATCTCCATCCCTAATGTTACGCCACACTGTTATGACCTCATCATCAAGCAATTTGTTTATCTTTGAACTAAATTCATATTCACCAGATTCAACATGCTGCTTTATGAACTAATGCTCTTTTGTCCAAGGCAGGGACTCAGGGTAAAGCAGCTAATCATGGCCTCCCTATTCATATATACAGTACACTTCAGCCAAAACAAAAAAACTTGAGCTTACTTGTCACATATACAGATGGAGGCTCAGTGGCTTGGGCAATTGCAAAAACTTGTCTGAAAGGCTTGGCTGAAATTGTCAGGTTTATAAGCAAGCATTAGTTAAAGGACAGTCTGTTAGTGTCTGACAAGATGCTTTGTTTTTGTGCTATTGTGGTGTTAATAAGTTACAGTATGTCTTAATAATAATGTTTTTTGCCTGAACATAGACACAAACTGTTATGCTCATTGTGAATAAATGCAGCCTGAACAGAAGCACATTTAAACAAATTGGCTACAAAATCTATATAGATTTTAAAAAATATTTTTAAGCATGGAACGCTGCATGTACATGTATAACTGTATATATGGTTTTTTAAAACTCCCTCATTAGAGACAATAATAGAAAATTGTGTTTTAAATGGAATCCTTTTTATAATGGATATTTTTCTGACATTAAATGACAGTAAATGTATGATCTGGCTCTGGGTTAGACAATGCAGCAGCAAATGCTGTCCACTGAAAGGATGTGTGTCCGCTATGCTGTTCATTCATACGTAAATGCAATTTAATAACTGGGGATTCCTGGTTTAAGTGTAACTATAAGGGACTACTTTTTTTTTTTTAAACCTGTTACACAGGAACTGCAGCAAAAGCCTATTATCCTTCCAATTCAGAGCTTCCTTTTTTCCAGACTCTGGAGTAAATATCTGGCTGGCAAACTGAAAACAAATGTGTTGAATTCTCTACAGTGTAAACATGACCAGTATGAACAGAGGGTGTCTGCTACAAAGGGCAGCTGGATACCAGCTTTGTCCATACTGAATGGGCTGATAATGTTGGCCAACAACTATAATGATGGCTTAGAGATTACTCTGTGAAGGATGTAATTTTCAAACAGGATAATGCATGATTCCCTTGTAAGATATTCAATTACAGATTGAGCATCTCTGTAAGGTCTTATGGGTCTTGACTAATTCCATTAATGTGTACCTCTGGGGTCTTGCTGATCTTGATGTTCCCAGAGCAGTTTTGTTAATCTTCAGATGAGAAATGCACCATAAAGCAGAAAATAAAGAGATTATAGGCATGAACAGACAAAAGTGTGGAAAAATAAAACTTCCTTATTTTATGAGGTTTTGAGTCTTGATAATTTGTTGTTTTTTAAGATGATAATACAAAACTTAAAACAATGAATGGTCCTTGACATTGTAAAGGATCTCTGCCACCCCAGTCATAGCCTCTTCACCCTCATATTCAAGTATCAAGGCCTTTTTTTGCCTTTGTGTGTAAACGTTTCTTCTCTCATCCTGAACAGCTTGAGCACCACATGATTCATGAAAATGATACTTCACTTTGACATTTTCATACGTAGCATGTAAGTGAAATATGGTGATATGAAAGTATAACATATAAAAAGTAATGGTTGCGAAAATGAACCCAGTCATATAGCATATCATTTATTCATATGCTCATTGTTTATTAATGATTTTAGATATATTTATTTATATTTATTCTTGACAGATGAACTAGTGATGGATATAATCATTAGTTAACAGTATTAAACCCTTTACCATAGGAGGTAAAAGGCTCCTGTATAAAGCTGTATATACTGTATATGGATGTTTCACATGTCTGAGCCCAGTAGGTAGGTAGGTAGATATTATTATATACTGCAAGTGAACAATCAAATATAAGTAATGTTTAACATACCTGTCAACAGAGACAGCAGCGAGTGTGAAGCTGCTGGCGTACATAGTGAGGTTGATGAAGAAGTGGACCACTTTGCACATGAAGGAGCCAAAAACCCAGCCCTCTAAAGAGTAGATAGTGGCTTGGAAAGGAACGCAGAAGATGATGAAGAAGAAGTCAGCCACGCTCAGATTAAGTATGAACAGGTTGGTTGTGTTGTATCCGACCTGTCCGCTCCGCAGCAGCACTGCGAGCACCAGGCTGTTTCCAATGGTACCCAGCAGGAAGATGAGTGAGAAGACCACTGAAACAATTACACTGGTGGGATTCAGCTGGTAGTTTTCAGACACATTCACCTGCCCTCCAGGCTTGCTGAAATCCTCAAAGTCAGACATTTTGTAAATCTGAAACAAAGAGAAGATACATGTGTTGAGCAAAGTATAATCACTATCTCAGAGCTTTTGGTAGTTTTACCATGTCTTCTGGTTGGACATCTTAAATCAGATGAGAATACCATTTCCCATTCCAGTGTTATTAAGTTCTCTCAGAGACAGTGCTCATGCACTGGTGGTCAGTACTGTCACAGTGACAAAGGAGCAACTTTTCTAATTATATTAAAACAGATGCCAAGCCTTCACACACCCCAAGGTTTCTTTAATTCCCAGTCGAGTCATATCACACATGTTAATAAGACATTAATGAGAAGCTGTTTTTAATTGGCTGGTGATATTTTGTCAGATGTGTACTGGGAATATTTTTGGTGTTTCATTAAACACCTGGTTGCAGTGCAGTGGCTCTAAACTTCAAAATCACTTAATAGATTCATTTAAATGATAATGCTAAATTAGTAGTTTGTATTACACAGCCTTTTCTGTTTTTTTTTTCTGGTTAAACAGAGAAAAAAGGGTTCAATTGAAAAGTTAATGTTTTCCTCTCTTTTTTTCATGTAATACACTGTGCCAATTGGTTGGCTTAAACCCAAACTAGAGGGTTTTCAGGTAAGTGGACCGAGTCATTTAAAGCAGCCAATTCTGCCCCTCTTTGCTCTAATCCAAGAAGCTGCCTAAAGCCCAGAGTTGTCTGAGTGCAGTCACATTGTTAGATTCGCTGACGGAAAATGAAGAGAACAGAAGTCCATCTCTACTGGGGGACTGGTGCTTTCATCAAACAGCATATTCCACTTTCATAAAGTGATGGCTCCAGTGACGTCAACGTGCACTCTCGGGTGTTTTTTTTCAAGTTGTCATATTGCTGGAGGTAAGTGGTGCAAAATTGGTGCTTGAAGGTAAAGAGCTGCTCTTGATGTTAAAGTCGATGAGTCACAACAAAGACACACACACACACACAAGGGAGAGTGTGATATCTCCAAGCAATTCATTTAATCCCATCTACATAATGACAAGCTCAATTCTGGATAAATTTTGAACTATAATAGGTCTGCAAATCATGTGTGTTTGTTTACTTTTTTGTTTTCATATCTGATGTTAGTATCATTGTGTTGTTTGTGAAGAGATGGATGAAATCTGCAGACTTGAACCAGAATTCAGGATACCATTTAGATGTATATACATAGCATGTAATTTCTAGGAGTTATGGTTGATGAACTGGATTGTTCACATCTCTCATCAGTACTTGCTACATCGTTCAAAAATACTCTTCTTAGTATTGAATCAGTAGCATCTTGAGGTTGCCAAGAGCAGTCTCCATCACATCTGTGTTACAATGAGGTAATGGTATGGACATCCAGAAGCTTTGGAGTACCAAACAAGATGATGCAGCTTATATCGTTCAAGAGTATTTTTGTGGTAATTTCTGGAAAAAAATGAGGGAATTCTCATTTTTCTGCTGTGCAGGCTTCAAAGCAACCCTTGACCAATACTTGTTCACTGACCAGGACATAAGACTTGGCTCTTAAATAGACTATGGCCCCATATCAAACAAAATCCATATTAGATCACCTTCAAAGTGTGGACTGCATTTAGCCTTTTTGTGTGGAAACAAAACCCAAATTGAGGAGAAAGGTTACCATTTAATAGAGACAGTTTTATCTGTTAATGCAATTCTCTTAATTAGTAACCCAGAATTAGTGTTTGTGTTACTCGATAATGCCACGCTGTGATAGGGTCCATTAGCAACATGCAGGTTTTTTTTTTTTTTAACAAATATGCTTTTTTTCATTAAATTATACTAAAGCAAGAAAACGGTTTGCTCTGAACTGAACAAAAACATTAATGAAAGTTATGAATTATCCACCCTCAATTAACAGAGTGGAAGACCCACTGCATACCTACTTAATGCCTTATGTTTATGGCAGCATAAACTGTAAAATTGATGGAGCTGAGATGAGATTGCAACAGCAAGAAACTCACTGCAACAAAGCTATTTGTAGATGAACAGATTAGATTTTATTTTGGCCTCTGTCTCCCCTGAAATGTTGAAGAAATCAATCAGAGATATTGTATTTTTAAAGAGAGAAGAACAAAGTCACATGGAATGAAAATGCTGTAAATGTAGATGATAAATACTGATCTGTTTATATATTTTAAGTCATCCTCTGGTCTTTATGCTTCTTTCCCTCAAATCTCAGCAATGATCAGTTTAAAGGGAATTATTAAATGTTATAAAACTTTTAACATCCTTTCAGTATTCTGCTGTCACAGAATCTGCATAATTAGTATAGTGACTGACAGCAAAATGAAGTGGATATGCTGATCACAGTCAATGGCAAATAAATGGTCATCTAAAATGAAGATAATAGAAGTGGCAATGTATTATTAAGAACCTTAGGAAGAGGCATCAGCTGCTTGTTACTGTTGAGGAATTTTCTTCACAGTTTTATGTCCATTCCAGACTTTGGCACCTCTTTCTTGGTGTGGCTGAGTTCCCTTTCTTCCCACTAGGAAACACAATCTGGACTTGTATTTATAATCCAACTGCAGGCAGATATCAGATCTATGACTCCTGCCAGTGTAGAACCCATGCAGAAGCCTCTGGGGGAATCAGTGAAAACAGGAACAGACATAGTGCTGGTAATAAAGCGTGCGGGACTTTGGCAGAGCTCTGTGTGATGTATGTCGGGGTATAATTAGAAATTTTGCAAAGGAAACAATGAAAAATTGAAGTGGCACGGCTAGAGAGCAGGTGGAGGGTGATAGGAGTGTAGCAGAGCCTAACATCTTCATTTTGACAGAAGCTTCAGGATTACAACTGATAGCAAGCATAAAGGAAACCCATCTCATCTCCATATTTTTGGATCTAGAATAAGCTAGAATAAGATGCATAACATCAAATCTTCCTCTGGCTCATGGTGGGGAGTAGATTAACAATCAAACTTTGGATGTCAGCCAAGCAGCAATAACATTTCTGCATCTTGTGATCAAATGATTAAAATGAAAATGCTGATAGTAAATTATAAATACAAATTGCAGATGCTCCATAAATCCTTTCAGATATTTGTATTCTGCACAGAGAGCAGACTCAACATGCAGATCAGGCAGATGCATGTGATAAACCTACCGATGATGGGTGGACAGTATCCAAAGCTTCAGCGCTCTGATGAAGAACGACACCCCCAGCAGACCTGCTCTGTTGAGCTGTTCATACTCTTTACCCTGAAGCCTCTGTTCTTCCAGTGTACATCGCTATCTGCCTGTGTTACTGGTATCTTACTCGTTCTCCTCCTCTACTCCCACCCCTCTCCTCCTGAGAGGACTCCTCCTCCACATTCACTTTAATGTTCACACTTCTCTGTAGAAAAGGATTGCAGAGCGAAGGCAAGGAGGGAAGATGCAGCGACCGGCAAGTGATTATCAATAATCAGGTTTGCTAACAAATAGTAGCAGCATTATTCATCCCTGGAAAAAGTCAGTATATGCACCCAAATCTGCTTTTGCCTTTTCATTAATCTTTAATATGCTAGACAGTGAAACCATTGTGTGCTAGAAGAGAGCACAATCCAGTTTAGATGTTTAATTCAAGGGAAACAGAAAAAATAATATTGTCCGTGCACACACTGTTAGAGTTTTAATTAGTGGATAGATTATTTTCAAAATTAAAGGAGGCAGGTGATGTTTCTATGGGTGCTTGGGACAACAGCCCAAGTCAGTCCCATGAAATTGCAATTTAATTTTAATTTTCCCACAATTACTGCCCATTTAAGGACTGATATGATTAAATAATATGTCCAGCCATGTTTGTTATTTTATTATTTAACAATCTAATCTAACTTATAGGAATAAAAAACTAACTTCAGAGAGTTGCATCTCACAAATTCAACAAACACACAGCTATTTTTTTGCATCAAGATTGCTGGTCCAGGGGTCTCAGTGGTTTGGATGTACTTTTAGTACTGAGCTGCTTTGGTATAAGACATTTTTATGGCTTGACATTTGAAGCAGGTTGAAAGCAATAGTGAGATTTTTGTCAATAAACAGTAATTGAATTGAATCTAATCCTGTAACAGATTGCCCAAGATAATAACAGGTCTAGAGGTAAACACACAAACATTTTCTGTCTTTCTGGGCTTGTCATTATGTAAGTATCGATTAATATACAGCAGTGGCATTCATTTTTCTTTTTGGAACTTATCTGTAGTCGTCCTGCATTGAATTTAATGTTATATGTAATGTTTTAGTGTATGTTTTCATATTTAATGGCACAATATTTAACTGCCAAATTTGTGCAACTTGCATCAAATTGTATTCTAACAAACAATAAACAAACAATAAAAACCACAGTATTGCTTCATGTCAGGTGTAAATTAATAGGTAACCAGTAAAGGGTTAAGATGACTTTTTGTCATTCAAACAATTCAAGAGTCAAAAGGGGACAAGAATGATTTATGCCTCAGAGAATGTGTAGGACCAATGTTGTTGTTGTTTTTCAGAGCTATGATGCACCATGACCAATACCATCAGTTACTAATGGCAGATTTAGTAGCTGTACAATACAAATAACAGATATGAAAAGATGGCCATACTCATTATTTTAATGTACAGTGTTTTTTAATGTTTATTTATTTGACTCCTGATATATTTGCAGATGTAGTTTTATGTATTGTAACAGTAATAGTAGTGAGATTGTGATGTCCGCATGTGAATATGCGCTCCTCCTGCTTTGTCCTACTTCATGTAACCCAGTTATTGTACCTCCAGTCAGCCACCCATCCATCAAATTGTTGAGCATCAACATCA